CACCAAGCCCCCCAGGCCATCCTGGCTACCAGGCCACCCTGGCTACCAGGCCACCCAGGTCACCAAGCCCCCCAGGCCACCCTGGCTACCAGGCCACCCTGGCTACCAGGCCACCCTGGCTACCAGGCCCACCAGGCCAATCAAGAACTTCTGCTAAATACCAATGGATCCGTCATGGCCGCCTCCTGGAGCCCAAACTGTCATGGTGCTCTCTGTGATCTCTTCCTGCTTCAGAAACATTCAGACTGATCAGTTTCTTTGGCATCCATTAGTTGGTCTTGTGGATAAAAGCTCAGCGCTGCGTTCATCTCCCACCACCTGCAGCTGAGATTAAGTTAGGAGGGAAAAGTTAGGAGTTGTTATGATCAGATGGATAAAAACCTCATTGATTATCTTTAACAGTGACTGTAGGGTTAATAAGAACTGGTCACCAACTGTCCATTTGACTGTGGACCAATCAGAACGCGGCGGCGGCGGCGGCCAAGGGCGGCCTGACTGAGAGCTGACGGATGGCCTACAGGTGAAGGAGCAGAAGGAGCAAACAGAGGAGGTCCACACAGGGCCGCTGGGATATATTTAGCCTCTGCAGGCCTGGAGATGTTTGCAGGGCAGCGCTGGGGACAGACCTGCATGTGTGAACATGTCTGTCAGCCGGGCGGCTCTGAAACAGATCAGCAGTGTTTCTGCTCCGCACACTGAGCCTCTTTCTCCATGCATGAAGGAAGCTGTTCTCTGCTGCAGCTCAGGATGGGCCCCAGATGGGCCCCAGATGGGCCCCAGAGCCAGTCTGACATGATACTGAGCCCCCACCCCCTTATGTCTTTATTTAGCGCAGCAGGACTTTGCTTCTAACAATAATAATATTAATACATTTTATTAACCTGCGCCTTTCTGGACACTTAAGGTCACTTTATAGAGAATAAAAATTAAAATACAAAAATAGAAATACAGGAACATAAAAACAGTTATGGGGAGGGAGAAGGGCAGTTTATTTACAAATAAGCAAGCTGGAACAGATGGGTTTGAGTCCGGTTTGGAATACTGTGGAGGTCAGGGGGGAGTGGGTTCCAGAGCTGGGGAGGCTCTGCTCCCCATGGTGACCAGCAGCTTCGCTCCTCAGAGCCTCCTGCTCATCCTGGAAGTCAGGCTGATATTCGAACAGACGGATGATAACGATGTAGAGGATTCATTTTCCATCTGGCTGAACAGAGACGGCGGATTCAGTCCAGTCATGTTGTTCTGTAAGTATTTAAAGAAAAGACGTTAAACTACAGAGGCGGCAGAAATAAAAAGCTACTCATTTTTAGGCTGTTTCTGCTGTTTCCAGGTAAAATATTGACTTTAGAGTCACAGCAAACCAGGAAGAAGATGTTTTTCTCAATGAGAAGCAGCCAATCAGAAGCCAGGGTCTCCATGAACTGGCCCCGCCCACTGAGTTTGATGAGTGGAAGTTGACAACTTCATAACAATGAGTCTGCTGATCAGAGGCCAATAGAGAGAAATGCATTTTTATATTTAATAGAATTATATCTTCAATAATTGAATTATTTAATGTTACATTTATTTATTTCATCATAGATTTAATGGTGATTTACTTAATTAGTTAATTAATTATCATGGGTATGAGTGTGGTTAGTGTGCACAGTTGAGTTGCTCTGCCACGTATTGCTGAGCTGTCCAGGGTCCACTCTGTCCACGGACTGCTGGAGACAGGAACCACCTGCAGAACGTCTCCATCGGTCCATGTCCTACAGTCTAATGTGGGACTTGGAGACCCTGAAAGACAATGATGTCACAGTTCAGGGCGGATTCCTCTGAAGGTGAACCTCATCATGTTTAGTGTCATGCTGTTGGTGAAGGAAGAAATGGCTGTGGAAAAAAAAAGTTATTTGATAAAGAAAATTAGATAAAAATAAACAAAAAAATTAATTAATTGGAATAGGAGAAAGGACAGAGAACGAGGCAGAGACACTGAGACACAAGAATCGAAACACCAAAGAGCAGGAGAGGAACAACAACCACACACCACCTGGGAGAGGTTACCAGTCAGAGGGTACCAGTCAGAGGGTACCAGTCAGAGGGTACCAGTCAGAGGGTACCAGT